GCTGGCATGTATTTGGTGCTTACGTAACCATATCCATTTTATTTTCAATGGCTATTAACTTGTCTATCTTCCTTGGCTGGAAGGCAAAAACTCTCTTACTTGGCTCTGTGTATCTAGTGCAGGCATACCTCAGAGATACTGAAAGTTTGGTTCCACACCACTGTAACAGAGTATCGCATTGCAATAAAACAAGGGGAGGGGGAGTCTTGTCTTCAGTGTGTAAAAAAATACATCTGTGAAGCACAATAAAATGAGGTGTGGAAGGAGAGGGGCCACAGGCAAAACCTGACAACTTCAGGGGAAGCCTGCGTGGCAGCCTTTACAAACTCAGAGGCCTGAAGTAACCACAAAGGATGGTCTGAAATTAAAACTTTCTAACTAAAAGCAGTTCATGGTGGGTAGTTTGGTTCTAGACCAGTATATTTCGGTCTAGAACCAAACTACCCACCTAAAAAAAAGGTCAGTTTTGCCTTAACTTAGCCTGTCTATTGTCTTTTTACATCTATGATAGCACACCTTTGGAATGTCACATCTCCTTCCTCTGGCCCCCTCAAAGCACAGGCATGGCACAAAGGGAAAACCACAAATGCCCTCGCTGTTACTGTTAGCATGTTAGTTACTGACTGTTAACTCTCTTGTTCCCACTTGTGTGAGAACTATGTGTCTATCATTTTACATTTTATCCATCCCTAGAGGTTTCCCCATTTTGCTTTCTCCCGCCTCCCTAATCTAACACCAGTTGATTTCATGTAACCCCCTTATGCATCGTCTTTTGATTATAATGTATAAAACAAGGTGCAGAACTGCCATTCTGCGTAGCATTTTCTCAGTCGTTGAGGTTTTGCTTCCCAGCAGTTGTCATCAGTTTGGCTCAAATAAACTCACAAAAATTCTCTATAGGTCTGAATGTTTCTTATGTTGACAGAGATGTTCCTGTATCGGGCCTATCATGAGTACTTGATAATATTTGTGGGAAGGAGGGAAGAAATTTTGAAAAGCTCAGTCTATTTAGGAATTGTTGTATCTGAAGTACATTTTAGTGGCATGAAGCACGATGCCTCAGTGATTTAGGAGAAGAGCTGACTAGTGAGGGCAGTCAAGAACCTTCCATCCTTCTGCATTGATACCAGTGAGTTGAGTTATGGGGTAAAGTCCTAGAGCTGGATTAGAGAGTTCTTTTTTTAATTTTTTTATGATGATGTAAGTAATACATGTTTACTGTAGAAATTCTTCAAAAATACAGTGAATAAACCCTACCTATAATTCTTTCTCCTAGAGACAACCACTGTTAACGTTGAGTCTTTTTTTTTCTTTTAGTCTTCGTTAATTTAAGTTTTAGGTTTTTAGTTAACCCTTAGACTTTTTTCTTTACATTTAGGTTGAAAAGTTTAAGAAATTATTTCAGGACTGCTTGTGAATACAAAGAAGTTAAATTGCAATTGGAAAAATAACCTGTCAACTGCAATAACAATTTGAAATGCTGTTTTTATTGTTAACATGGGCAGTGACCTCCTCAGAACGCCTTTCCTAATCTTCTTCAGGTGAATGTGATCTCTCACCTAGAAAGCACCTTGGCTACTTTTCTCATTTCCCCTGCACTGACTTGTGGGAATGCTTTTATCTTCATAGAATGAGGCCGTGCTTGAACCTCTGAAGCGTCCCAGTACAAGGACAGTACAAGGTTGTCTTGAATTGAATGAGAATTTATATGCATAATGCATTTTCCCCCACCATGTGAAATACCACTCAGATAACATCACCTTGGAAAGAAAGCAAGGACATTTACTGGTGTATTCCTTTGTTCACTAAACACGTTGACTACTTTCTGTGTGTTGGTCACTGAGCTAGGAATCAGAGCCTCAAAATGAATAGACAAACCTTGTCCTCAGGGAACTTGCAGTTTAATAAGAGAAAAAGGAAAGGTAAACAAAGTATAATGCAGTGTAATAATGTCAAAATAGCAGCGCATTGATGGCCTATAGAAGAGAATGAGCAGAAATGATCCGAGAAGGCTTTAAGAAGAGGGGTGATTGAGTTGGGTCTTAATGGAAAAGTGAGATTTATTTTCACGCAAACAGGCAGAAAGAACAGTATGTCTGACGTCTGAAGATATGAGGCATATATCTCTTTGGGGAAATAGAAGTAGTTTGGCGCATCTGGAACATGAGGTATATCAGAGGTGGCAAATGGGGGAAGATGGTGAAAACCTTGAATGTCAGAACTTGGATTTTATTTTATAGGCTATGGGAAGCATTTCATTCAAGAGCAAAGCCACAATTAGGTATACTTTTTAGAAAAATCATGTTGCAGTATAAAGGATGATGGAAGTGGGCTAAGTTGAAAGCAGGTATGTGGATAGGGGGCTATCAGAACAGTCCCAGAAAAAAAAGGATAGGCAGATGTCCAGGAATGGCAAACCCTATAGAGACGGAAAGTAAATTAGTGGTTCTGCAGCTGGAGGTGGGAAGAGGCTGTGACTCTAAATGGGCACAAGGGATCTTTTTAGGGTAATGGAAATGTTCAAAAACTGCATGTGATGATGGTTTCACAGCTCTGTAAATTTTCTAAATATCATTGTACACTTATAATGAGTGAATTTTATAGTATGTAGATTATACCTCAATAAAACTCTTGAGAGAATGGTGATGGAAGGAGACTTGACTGAGAGAGGTGAACACACAATACAATGTACAGATGATATGTTACAGAATTGTGCACCTGAACTGTATAATTTTATTAACCAGTGTCACCCCAATAAATTCAATTAAAAAACTGAGAGAGAGAGAGGGACATTTCTGAAAGGGCAGTAGCATTAAGAGGAGACAGATAAGAGAAATGGTGATAAAGAAATAGAATTTGTAACAGTTAGACGTTGATTTTATCTCACATTATGGTCACCTATCTGTTTAGCCAAGCATCCTAATTGTGCTTCTGTTTCCATTTTTGCAAAAAGATATCAACCCTACTTTTTACTTGGTAAGTTTCAAAACATATGGATCTACCCTTTACTAGTAATATGGAATATCTGCCTCTGGATTCTTATACAAAACCATATCTTCTAGTTCTCTGCCACCTAGTTCTTTATAAACACTAGGTTATGAGAAAAAAATACAAGGTCCGGCACAGATAATGCCCCTTTTTTATTACAAAATCTCTTGTTACAAAATCATAAGCATGTAATTCTGTAATATAACAATATCACATTCAAGCACGCCACATGAGGTTTTAGGTGAAATGTTCAAATTAAAACTGTAAATTATTACACCTGCATTATTACCGTACCGACCATACTCAAGCAGGCGTTACTTCTGCCAGACACTGTATGTGAGAAAGATTGCCTGGAGGGTATGTGGCCCACTCATTTCTCTAGAATTGCTATTCACCAGGTAGTTATTGAGTGCCAGATCCTATGCTCGTGGTATAGCGCTGAATAAAGCAGATGTAGGGTCTGCCTTTATGGGGCTCATAGTCTTCCAGTGGGGATAGGTGTCATTCACAGTTGTGGTATCTATTGTGTCGACTTTCCATGTGCACTAAGAGAAAATGACACATGAATTGAGATCTGAAGAATAATGCTGGGGTGAGGGTGTGGCTGTAGACGCTGGTCCAGTATCCATCCAGCTGGCATTCTTCTGTACTGTGTGAGCCTTCTGAATGTGATCCCTTTTGAGTCTGGGGTCTCTGAGGTTATTCTGGGTCCTAAGTTCTCTTGGTTTCCTTTATAGGTGCTTTCATTGAGCTGTATGCCAGCTTTATGCCATCATTTGTATTGGTCATGTTATAAGAAACAGCCATACAAGATTCATAGTTAATTATTGTAGAAATGTTGTAGAAGGTACAGTCTTTAACATCATGCTTCATGCCCTTTTATTGAAACCCAGAAGAGAAATTCCTTTCTGATCACTCTACAGTATTTGCTTATATGTTTTGGTCTGTTAGTTGCTCTGGAGCACCCTGTGGCATCTTGCTCTACTTCTCCCCAGGGGACATTCTCTCAGCCTGTAGTGCCCCATTCCATTCTTGATAGGTTTAACCCTTTCTTCTCCCTCAGCTATTAGTTCAAGAGTCGATTCTTTAAGGAAGTCTTTCCTAACCAACACTCACTCCTCTTCTAAACTAGTCTGGTTCCTAATAGAAACGTTCACAGCACTCTTTTCTTTTTTACTTAATTAGTTTTTAGTTAAATAATTTGTTGTTTGGTAACTTTTTTTTCTCTCCTAGACTGATGGCAGGAAGATCCATGAGGGTAGAGACCATGCTTTTTTTATTTGCTGCTATGTCTTAAAGTGCATTATGTTGCACATAGTAGATGCCCAATAAGTATTTACTGAACAGTTGAATGAATGAACAAGTGATTGAATCAGTGTGGGCCCTGAATCTTGTAACTTCTTTTTCTCCTTTCGCTGTTTGGATGCTCAGGCCTCCTTCATTCTAGCTATAGCCTTTGTGGGGGTCCTTATGGCATGCATTATGTACACTAACATTTCCCAACTACATAATATTTTTCCTTTCTTTGACTTTTTCATTTTTTTTTCCAGTGTGTATTATAAATTCCTATAGGCCACTTTGAGCCTTTTTGGGGGAAGAAATAATAAACAGTGGGTATATGAGTAAGAAGAGAAAGGAAGAAGTCACAGGGAAATGTTAGTATCTTTAACTAGATGTAGGAGGGAATTTTCCTTTTGCTTTAAACTTTTATTTTCACTATGAGAAGGAAAAAGAAGTAAACTTGTCTCCTAATCTGGCAGGAAATGCCTCTGAAGAACCCGAGTCCTCTCTCTGCTCTGAGATGGCCCTCCGTGTGGCAGGAAGCTGGGGGCTGGGCTCGCGGGCCCCCCGGCCCAGTGGAAGGGCGGGCATGGACCTGTGCAGGCTGCCTGTGCAGCTGAATTCCATTCCAGTTGACTTTCCCTTGGGGGGCGGTTTGGGCAGAGCCAGTGGGAGCTTGTTTTTTTACTGTAAGAAGGAGAAAGAAATGAACTTGTCCTCTTGTGTTGCAGATTCAGTGGTTCTATCCTTTGACTCCGATGGACAAACTCTAGGCTCAGGTACCAGTCTCTCCCCCTCTATCACCCTTTCAGCACTCCACACTGACCGCATTTGAAATGGAGCCTAATAAGGGGGTGGGGCGGTCATCTGGGGGTGGGCAATGGAATATCACAGAGTTCTGGGAAAGCCTCAGGAAGCCTTTCTAGGGACTCATGGTCTAGGAAGCAGCAGTAAGAACCAACACCTGGAAGACTTTGCCAGTTGCTTTAAAGGCGTGCACTGAAGAGTTTTCAGGAGATGCTCCTCCCCCATTCAGAGTAGTCTCTGTTTATGTAAAAGGGTAGGTATGTTTTCTGTCACAGAGAGTAGGGCAGAGGGCATTGAGACACGCCAGCTCTGGGCGTGCTGGAGTGGGTAAGCATCAGAGCTTTCAGCAGAATGCCAGGCTGGTGAGAGCCATCACAGCTTCCCAAGGACATATACATCATTGCACACTTACACGCATACACTGTACAAGTACACGCACTCCAGGAGGTGTACTTTATTGTTCACTATTTGTGAGAAAACTCATGCAGGCCTACATACTCCCCCTCTTCCCTGTGTCTACAGTGCAGGACACACGAAGTGGTACACCTGCCCCTTTTACACAAAATCACCCAGGCTCATTTGAGCTTGGCTTTCCCATGTCAGAGGGAGTCCGATGGTGCTGTTGGCAGTGAGCAGAAAGAGGTTTCTTGGATTCTTCAGCTTGCTGCCATTGTATCCCTGTGGGAGCCCCAGAATGACTTACTTTGTGAGAAGAGCATCTCTGTGCATTATGCCTGTATTTTTAGTTGGAGATGGTGGCGGGTGCTGCTTATGAATAACAGGCAGACTTGGCTGGCCTGCTGAGGACAGTTAGTCCTTGAATGCAATAGATAGGATTTCACAAAGCGGCCATGAGGTTCATAAGTTGTGGCAGTGTGGACAAGAGAATGATGTTCAGAGAATGTGGTCACAGCTACCATTGTTTACTGAGGGCCTACTGTGTCTCAACACTGTGCTAAATGCTTTACACACATCTCACAAGGTAGACAATGTATCTTTCATTATAGATAAAGAAACCATTGTTCAGAAGGTGAAGTGATCTGTCCAGGGCCATTGATCTCTCTCTGGCTCTGGAGCCTGTCCTCTTTCCTTTGCCATTGCGCAGTCCCCTACCTGTGTGAGGTGTCCTCCACCAAAATGCTGAGGCAAGAGAGGTCGCTTTAAAACAGAGTAGACAGAGTTTTTATTCTTATAGGAGAAAATGAATCAATTTGATTACATTAAAGTGAAGGGCTTCTATTAATCGAAAGACATTAAGAGTAAAAAGGCTATCTAGAGTGAAAAAAAGATATTTACAACACAAAAACCAACAAAACATTTGTTTCCAGAGCTACGAAAGAACTACAAAATCAATAGGAATAAAGAAACAACCCAGTATAGAAACAAGCAAAGACTGAATAGTCACTTCACAAAAGAGGAAATCCAAATGGCCAATAAACCTATGAAAAGGTATTTGATTGAGTTAGTATGTAGGGGAATACAGATTAGAATTGCAGCGAGTTACCACAACACTTCTGCCAAAATAGCAAAACTTAAAAAGCTTAATATTCCAGTGTTGGTAAGAATGTGGTACAGTGGAGAAACTCTGAATTTCTCCTGGTCAGAGAATAAAGTGGTTACAGCCACTTTGGAAAAGACTAACTAAATCTGAATATACCTCATAACCTGGAAGTTCCTCCCCTAGGTATGTTCCTTGCAGAAATGGATGCTTGTATGCATACCAGGGTATACGGACAAGGCACATATATAAGAGTCTATCTCTGACTTTGAGTGCAGCTAAAGGCGGACATAAAGTATTTAGCAGCTATTTGAAGACTCTAAAATATAAATAGTAGCAGATAGATTGGGGGAAAAGACTAGAATTAAAAGCTCTACCACAATGACAGTGAATTTATCATTTTTCTTATGGTATCCCATATAATGGACTTGAGGCAGCCCAAAACCTAGCAGTGGATACCAGGGCACAGAGAGGATTCTAGAAGACCTCTAGTTGTGGCTCTGGGGCAGGAGAGGGACTCTAGGGCTCAAATGGGGAAATCCCAAGGGTGGTTTTTCCCCTGTTCCCACGGTAGTGGTGGTGGTAGTGCCAGTGGCAGCAGTGGGGCCTTCAAGCACCTAAAACTGAGGAAGGGAAACCTAACTCTCTGATTAAAAGAGCTGTAATCCCGAGAGGGTGACATGAAATCTGGTTGCTTTTTTCTTTCTCCACCTTCTTGTTGCTTGGCCCCAGACGTGGGTATAGTTTGAGAAACAGGTGGCAGAATACGATAACTAAAACCCCAGCTTTCTGGCTGGAGGACCAAGGGAAAGCCCAGCGAACTGGAAAGTACAGGAGAAAACAGAGAGGGAAGACCTCAGGAAAGTGACTCCGTGAAGTTGTTTATGAACTTCTGGGCTAACCCCAGAGCTGCGCAGGTGTGCTCCTGATGCTAACCAGCATAACAAAGACTGTGAGAACTGAACTAAGGAGTAGACCATGGCCTGAGTCCCAGACTGGACACTGGGTGGCGCACACAGAAGGCACACCTGAACAGGTTTTGAAAATGGAACTGGCATTGAAACCACAATTCATAGAAGGTTGGTCAGACCTGCTACCTGAACCCAACCTTGTTGATTATCATGTAAAACAAAAATATCAACATTCTCCACTGGATTTAAATAAGACCTAAGGTTTTATAATATTCAAAATATCCAAAATTAATCATCATATAAGAACCAGGAAAATCTTGACTTGCATGGGAAAGACAATCAAGAGATACCAATGCTGAAATGACACAGATGTCGGAATAATCTGACAGACTTTAAAGTAGCTATTATAAGAATGCTCGCAAAAGTAAGGGCAAACACTGTTGAGAAGAATGGAAAGATAGAAAGTATTAACCATAAGGCCCTCCCCCCCACACAAAGGTATAAAGAAGTACCAAATGGAGATATAAGAGAAAATATAATAACCAAAAATGTAAAAACTCAACTGAATATAAGTTTTTAATATTCAGAATGCTCAATAACAGAATGGAAATGACAGAGGAAAAAGCATCAGTGAGCTTGAAAATAAAGCAATAGAAACTAATCAATCTGAACAACAAAAGAAGAAAAATAAGAAGCTGAACAGAGCCTCAGTGATTTGAGGGACAATACCAGAAGGTTTACCATCTGTATCATTGGACTCCCTGAAAAGGAAGAGTGCTGTACATGATAAATATTCAATGAAACAATGACTAAAAACTTCCCAAATTTGGTACCCAAGTGGGATATATCCTGGGAATGGAAGGTTCAGCATTAAAAAGCATCAGTCAATGTAATCTGTCACACGAACTGTCAAAAGAAAAACTAATGGTCATGTCAATTGATAAAAAACATCGGACAAAATTCAACATTTACTCATTATTTAAAAAACTCTCAGCACACTTAGGTGTCAACTTCCTCAGGCTTGATACGGGGCATCTACAAAAAGGCCACAGCCAATATCATACTTAATGGTAAAAGAATGCTTCTCCCTAAGATCAGGAGCCACTGATAAAAGTCCTTACCAGTGCAATAAGGCAAGAAAAAGAAGTGGATACAGATTGGAAAGGAAGATATAAAATTAACCTTCTTCATAGATGACATGATTGCCTACATAGAAAATCCCAAGGAATCTACAAAAAAAAAACAACCCCAAAAAAACACCATCCTAGAACTAATAACTGAGTTTAGCACAATGACAGGATATAAGACTAAAACACAAAAAATTAATTGTATTTCTATGTACAAGCAGTGAACAATTGAAAATCAAAAATTAAAAAAAAATCATTTACAGTATTCCTCCAAACCAAAATACTTATATATAAATCTAATGAAATGTGTAGGATCTATATGTTGATACTTGTTGTTCCTCTCCCATTTTTCTTTTCTATTTACCCAACTGTTGAAACTATGACCTAGGAATCTCCTTGATTTTTCCTCTTCCTCACCCTTTTCCACTTTTTAAAAAGTCGTTCTTTAAAAAGATTTTATTTATTTTTTTAGAGAGAGAGGAAAGAAGGGAGAAAGGGAGGGAAACATTGATGTGCAAGAGATACACTGATTGCAGAGATTGGTTGCCTCTCACACACCCCCAACTGGGGACCTGGCCCACAACCCAGGCATGTGCCCTGACTGGGAATCAAACTGGCAGCCTTTCAATTCACAGGCTAATGCTCGGTCCACTGAGCCACACCAGCCAGGGCTCCACTTTTTTTTTTTTTTAATCTTCACAGTGTGTCCTTGTCCAGTCACTTCTTTCTAGCAGTACTGTCCAAGTTACCATCATTTCTGCCTTAGACAAGTGAACACCTAACTGGTCTCTCTGTGCTCAATTTTTGCCTTTCAACAGTCCATCCTCCACTGTAGCCAGAGTAATCTTTTAAAAATATAAATCAGACTGTATCTTGTTTGCACTGAAATCTCCCCAGTGATTTTTTTGTGCACTTAAAGTAAATCCAAACTCTGATATAGGGCCCTACTTGCTAGCTCCTGCTCCAGTTTCTCTCTACTTATCTCTACGCTTTAGTCCACTTGTCCCTCACTGACCTCAAGCCACATTGGCATTCCTGCTGTTGCCGAGTGTGCCGGGTCGTTTCTGCTGCAGGGCCTTTGTACTCACTGTTTTCCACTACCTAGAATACTCATTGCTCCGGCTTTGCCTGTCACAGGGGTCTGTTCATATGTCACCTCTGCAGGAAGACCTTCCCAGATGACTTTATATAGAGTCATCTACTCTTCTGACACATAGTCCTTCTCTAGAAAGGTATGTCTTTATTCCTTGTTAGCACCCATCCTTCCTTCAGTTTATCTGCTTATTTACTTGTATACTATCAGTCTTCCCTCCTGGAATGTAGGCTTGATTTGGCCAGGGACCTTGCCTATCTTGTTCATCACTATGTCCCTGGTACTTAGAACAATACTTGGCACATAGTATATATGCAGTAAATATTTGTTGAATGAAGAGTTG